GGGGGGGGGGGGGGGTTAGGTTCAGGTAACCCTTCACACACAATTGTTGTGATTCTCAGTTTCCGCGGCATCTTAATTGGGAGCTTGCTTTTTTCTGGATCTTTTTCTTCTCGGTGCCATGGTCTTGTAGTGCTTCACCCGGAGTCCTCGAGGACCGGTCTGCTCCCTGGCTTTCCGTGTTTCTTTTTGCTTGTATAATTAATAGGGTTTGGGGTTTGGGGTTTTGGGTGCAGGGTTTAGGGTTCAGGGTCTTATTCTGCCTGAAAGATGCAAACTAGGGGGATCAAAACACTGAGTGGTACATGTGTATTCTCCGGACAATCCTAGGACGAGGCAGTTCAAAATCTGAGCCTCGGAGCTCAAAACTGAGGTGGGCATCGCGAATTGGCCAAGCGCCTGATAGGCCACCAATTGAGAGATTGCTTCGGCTGGGTATCAAGAGCTGACGGTTACTGGGCCTTGCAGGATGTACTTGTAGAAGGTTAAACTCTTGAGAAGATGATGGTTGTAGGACGGACGGTTCATGGGGGTCGGGGCTCAATGTGTTGAGGCCTGTTATGTTGGAGGAGTCTTCAGGAAACCACGAAAAGCCTGCAATTCCAAAGGCTATCTTGAGTCCAAGGGATGCAAGGCGGTGGCCTGAAACCCCAACAATGGTTCCGAAAGGCGCAGGCAAGTAGCGACATCTACGAAAGAGGGCAACGCCAACTACATCTGTTTGCAGGACAATCCGTGTTGTAGTGATGGTGATGGCGACTGATGTCGGACGAGGAAGACTAGAGGACGATGACAACAACGATGACATTGAGGATTATGGGAGTGGTGATGTCGTGGTGATGGTGATGAACATGGCAATGATGATTATGCTACTGCTCCTGATGATGATGATGATGATTATGGCGAGGATGATGTTGCGCTGCTGCTGGTGGTGGTGGTGGAGTGGTGGGGTGGTGGGGTGGTGGGGTGGTGGGGTGGTGGTGGTGGTGGTGGGGTGGTGGGGTGGTGGTGGTGGTGGTGGCGGCGGCGCTGGTGCTGATGGTGCCGGCGGTGGTGCTGGTGGTGCTTGTGGTGGTGCAGGTGATGGTCATGGCGGTGCTGATGCTGATGATTGATGACGAGCGTGAAAATGAGTGCAACTGGGGTCATGGCGCTGGTGCCAAGATTGTTCACCACCTCTCCTGCTCCTGCCAAACACAGCCGATCACCTGGTCAGGGCAGTGGGCCGAGGAGCGTGACGCTTGGGCACGGCCAGCTGCACCGGAGGTCGGGGAGCAGAGGATTTTTGGGTTTTCGGGTCCTTTTGCACGCTGAGGACTTAAACTCCGTAAGCTCCGCAAATTACACTCCAAGACTCCAAGCCCTGGTCATTCAGCCTCAAACCCCAACCTGCCCAAACTCAACACTTTGAGCCTCGGACAACACCACCGCATGTAGTTAAGTGTTTGGAGTTGCTTCCAGGCGGAAGGATTGGCGGAATGTCCAGTGTGCTTCAGAGCACTCTGCCTCGTCCTTACCATTCCTGAAGCTTCAGGGACATGTGCACGCTTCGCTGATGATGAGGATGATTATGATGATGATGATGATGATGAACATGACGACATCGAGGCTACGACTATGACGACTGGGCCCAGTGACGATGACGGAGACGAGAACGGTGGTAATGGTGACACGGGCGATGATGACAGGGGCGATGGTGATGACGATGTGGATAACAAGCATTGTCATGATGTATCAATCGTCATCGTCATCATCATCATCATCATCCTCGTCGTCGTCGTCGTCGTCGTCGTCACCATCATCATCACCATCATCATCACCAACATCATCACCATCATCATCATCGTCATCGTCATCGTTGTCGTCATCATCATCATCATCAACATCATCATCACCATCGTCATTACAATCATCGTCATCGCTATCGTCATCGTCATCCTCCTCCTCCTCCTCATCATCATCATCCTCATCATTATCATGATCATGGTCATCATCGCCGGAACCGTCATCACCATAACTAGCTGTTTCTGCATCACCAAGCAGCATCACCATCAGCATCCTCGACTCCACCCCCTGCTTCTTGTCGTCACTACCGTCGTCGTCATCATGATGATTTCCCCATCATCACCAGCATTGTCGCCCTAGTCCTCGGCACTCTCTTCCTTTATCGCCGACCTGCCGTCATCCGTGGTGTCGTCTGTCTGTCTTCGTGAAGGGTATCGCCTTTGTCCTTGCTATGCAGTAGTCGAGTATGTCGCTGAGGTGAAGGAGGGCCTGCAGCACTCGTGGATGCTAGTGGCCGCAGCAGCCCTGGACAGCCGCAGTGATCATTACCCGGACTTGTCGGCTTTGGGAACTTTAGGGCGGTGCGAAGCGCCTTTGCGAGACGCAAAAAGGGCTGCATTGATCTGAGGCCGCACGTGCGGACACTTTCTGTGTACAGCCTGTGCAACAGAGCTCTCTCTGCAATCGACCAGCCGCAGCCTCAGGTTACTTCCATACATTACACCCCCGGCAGAATCTACATCGGTGGCTTTGACTCAGGCCCCCGGTGTCCAGTTTGCCGTCAGACCTTCCAGCCGCCACCTCACCGACCGCCGGACCCCCGTGAGGCCGGGTCGATGCTAGAGGGAAGCAAGTGAGCTTCAGAACAGGAGCAACAATTCGATAATGTCTGCATGAGCACAAGCATGCAGCTGATGTCTGTTCAGCTTGTTCGTCCACAGGATCCGGCAGCTTGGTTCGCCTTCTTCGACGAGGAGGGCTCGGGGTACCTGGAACGACAGCTCCTGGAGAAGGCTCGATCATTTTCACCTTTGGGTCTGCCACTTTGATTTCACTACAGGGCTGCCCTAAGGGGGGCTTCCCTGATACCGGTGTCCTAGCGGTAATGGCTATGGTTTGATTGGCCGATGTCTTCGCAGTACGGGGATCACAGCGGTAGAGATGCGGTCTAGCGTGTTCACGAAAGCATGGGTGCCAGCTGTGTCTACGATGTCACGCATGAGCTGAGGGGCATCGAAGAGGGATTTGAAGGCTTCTTGAGCTCCTTGTTGTCCTCCTCTTGATATCACCAGCAGCAAAGTTGAAGGTGTCACCCAGGTCAGCGGGAAAGGAGATGAACTCTGAGAAGCCATTAGCTGCCAGCCATCTCCTCAGGTGTTGCCAGCAGTGGTCCCAGTGGATGCAGCAAAGTTAGAGGCAGGAGAGAGCGCCAAGAGCTGCCTGAAGCCAAGACAGTCCTAAACGGCTATGCCCTTAAGGGAGGAGCGATCCCAGCTCTGTCGGAAGAAGGGCTTTGAGCCATGATGTCGGGCCTTCTAACCCGAGGTTTCTGTCCTGGTTCCATCGTTGCATCGCACAGCGACCAGACTGTCGGTACCCACTCCGAAGCCTCGAAAACTTTTGCCTCCCCCTGGACAGGCTTCCCTTCGCGGCTCTCTGTGGCGTGAATGGGACCGTGCTCCCTGATGCGTGATGATTTCGTCCAGAACAGATTACACAGTTTACAACTACAAGCTTCAAGGGTTCTTGCTGAGGATGGTTCAAAGGTTGAGAACCAGCGGCAATGGACCACGGGTCGGCCAAAGCTTCTTGTCCCAAGAAGACTCTCAAACCCTTGGTTCTTGATTGCCGGGAGCCCAAAACAGCTCCTGAAGCTCGGATCTAAGCAGGCTCGAAAGGGCTTGCATGACCATGTCTGCTTGCATCGTGTTCCTGGAACTTACAACTTGCTATCGTGGTTCGAGATGACTGCCGACCCAACAAACTTCCCTGGCTGCGAACATCCCCATCATCACCGCCCACCACCACCACTTACTCTGCTGTCTTGTCGGATTTCTGCTCCTGTTTTTGGGAGTCCTGGCAGGACCCGGCCGGGGAGGGCCGGATCTCGCGTAAGGCCTTCTGTGCGGAACGAGGGCTGCTGCACCGCTCTCAGAAGGTGCTAGGTCCTAGGCACAAATAAGCGTCTCGACAGAGAGCAGGGTGACTTCCGCATTCCAGCCGACACAAAGGGACAAACACAGAACGAAGAGGCAGCAAAAGCGACGAGAAGACTGAATCCCGAAGGAGAGTGATCACATCACAGCATATGCCACGATGACTCGTCCATTCTGTCTAACAGTCCCGAAAGCTCTTTGGTCTTCAGGCGGTGGCTGGCGGAGCACCTCGTGGAACTCAACGAAGAGCGCGAAAAAGGGCCTAAGCCTCAGGAATTCCCGAAATCCGAGAGCTCTGAAAACCAAGCCTGAGCCCCTCTGTGAGGCAGGCGAGCCCCTGAACCCTGAACCCTGCGAGCCCTGCGGTTTAGGTTTAGGGTTTGGGGTTTAGGGTTCGTTCCGACACCCGCAATTCCAAGCCAAAGCTCAGACGTCGCGCCTCCGACTCAGGCCTCCGCCCCCTTTGGATCAAGATCGCCAGAGTCTCTGGGAAGTGTGTGGGTGAGTGAAGGTGAGTGATGTGGGGCTTAAGTTTCGGTTTGCATGGAAAGTTGCGGGGCTCATTATCCCATCCCTCAACCTTTGACCCTTGCTTTTGAGGCCAAAGCTGCAAGCCCTAGACTCCTCCGCAAGGATGCGGCTGGACCAAAGGAAGGGGAGGAACCCTAGAGGCGGAGCAACAGCCCTGAGGCCAAGGAGAAGTTTTCGAGCTTTAAGCTTGTCTTTTTCTGGCAGCAGGCCAAGTGCCTTGGACCCCTACTTTTTAGGGTTTAGGGTTTAGTAGGATTTAGGGTTTAGGGTTTAGGGCTGTAGACTCCGAAGAACGCTTGATCTGGCTGCCAAGGTGAAGGATGGCAGCGGTCCCAGACAGTGCCTTCTGATGTGCACGCCGTCTTTCCGTGGCCGAGGGTTGGGCCTGGTGGAGGGCTTTGAGCCGTTAAGCTGTGAATAGATCTTATGTAGGCCAGGCCCTCTGGCCTGAATCAACGATCCCCTAACATTCAAGTTGCTCCTGCTTCTGAGTAGTACCACCTTAGAACCCGAGCTCAGTGACGGGAGGTTGGTATGCGGGAGTCTCGATTGGGGATCTGAAGATCTGCGTCCATTTTTTGGCTCAGCTCCCAAGCTTCACCTGAACCCCAAATTCGGAAGCCTCAAAGCTTCAAAGCCACCTCCTCTCTCGTGATCTCTTTCGAGGGGGGGGGGGTTTTGGCCGAGGTTCCGCCATTGGGCTACGGCTGGGACCACTGGAATGGGCAAGGCGGACGAGCATGCAGCTTGAAAGATGCAGCATTTGCCCCTCAGGACGAAATCTAGGTCTAAGACAGGTCCAGCAATCCTAAGCCGATCATGCGCAGGCCGAAGTGCTGCGTGCGGTCAGGCTCTCAGTTCAAAAGGTGAGGCTGTGGCTTTGTTTGGGAGGCGGTCTGCTACCAACTACTATCTAGCAACTAGAACTTACGCGCTGCGGAGTGTCGACTCTAACTATACTGATCCGACGACGAAGTGCCGACGATTGTGATTTCCGTGTTCGACTCGTAGCAGACGGCGCGACATCGGTCGCTGTCTGTCAGGTGCTCAAATCCTGTGGGACTTCGTCACTGGAAGCCTCCGCAGTGGCTGCCAGCCAGGAGCCCATGTTTTTCCTCAAGTTCCAAGAGTGATAATGATGGTGATGGCGAGGAGGACAGAAACAGTGGTGATGATGAAGACTCTGGCCATTTGCGCACTGTTGCCTTATGATTATGGCATGACGACAGCCGTTGTCATGATCACCATCACCAGTTCCTTGCGCTCATCAGCACCGTCATCATCATGCGCTGCCTGTTTCCCTGCGAAGACATTTTGAAACCTCAGTTTGCTGACTGGGTTTGAAAGATGGCTGTCGCACATCAGGTCGCGAGTGGATTGAGCGATGCTGGCTGTTGTGGGCTGCTGGCTCAGCTGCGGTGCCTGCCAGCAGACACAGGTTGTAGTAGCTTCCACCCTCCCAAACCCAAAACTCGAACCCTGACCTCGCCAGGATCGAGACAAAAGCGGGCGCATCTCCTTGAAGGAGAGTTCCTATAAGGCTTCCAGTAAGGGTTCCTCACAGCTTTTATAGGCGTTCGTGGTTTTCGTATTATAACTTGCCATAACGATAGTGTAATATTCCTCGAAATGCCATCATCTTTCCGAGGGCCAATGGTCTGCGCTCAGTTTTTGGGAGATTGCCTTGACAATATGCATGAGAGTAGCAGTAATACCAATAACACCGGTATTGTAGCAATAGTTGCAAACACAATTGGCTGACTTTGGAAGTATCGAGTAAGTGGTAATCGCAATACTAGGAATGCTATAATCATACTCGTTGTGACGATGTTGAAAAAATTCCGCCGGAGGAGTTCTGCGCCGAGGGTGGCTTAGCTGTCGTCTCCTCAGCCCACAGGGTTCGGTTGGGGGTTCAAAGGCTTCCTAAACACCCCTAAACCCTAAACCCTAAACCCTAAGCCCTAAGCTGAGCATAGTGGAGTAGTAGGGCTTAGTAGGAGCTGGGGTTGGAGATAGAAGAAAGAAGGGCCAGGGTACTTTGAGATCAAAACTAGCGCCAGAGGTACGCACTTTGGGTGTTGAGGGAGTGTTTTGGGTCATTGATTGCAGATAGCACGGGTACCAACACAGAGCTCTTTGCAAAGTCCATCCCGCCAGGTGGAGTCACGATTTTGAGAATGTGCCCGAAACAGCAACAAACATTGCTACTAATCCACTCCTCCACCCACTCCTCCTCACACTCCGTACCCCCGCTCCCACCACCACTCCTCGAAAAACAAGGACAGGCAGGAACCTTCTCAGCTTCTCAGGACATGATGTTGCAGCAAAGCACCCTTGCGGCGGCGAAGCGCGTGGTACGAAGGATGGAGTCGGCCTCTTGGTGGGGCGGGGATTGAGAAGTTGGGTTAGCTATGAAGGGGAAATCGGGGCGGGTTGTGATGGCGTCGAGTATCACAGTCAGTGTGTGCGTGCGTGTCTCTGTCTCTCTGTGTGTGTGTGAGAGTGAGAGTGATATTGCTGTTTTGCTGGCTTAGCGCCCAGTGTTGCAGAACACCAAAACAATCCTCGCTGCACGTCTACTCGTGCATGTAGTTGCCGAGCAGGCGCCCTGGAGATTTGCGTTGCACGGGCACGGCAGACATGGCAGCCCGAAAAATGTCGATGACACAAATCCAAAATGTGTCAATCTTCAATACGTGGCAGCATATTTGGTGACAGGATTAGTATCATGGTTTGCCTCCCAGTGAGTTACAAGATCGAAACACACCCGAGGTTGGAGGTCCACGACCCTGCGGCTCTGGTCGCGTGTTGCCAGCAGCTGGTGGAATGTGCTGTGGGCATTCGCCCGGAGGCACCCAAAGGGGGCTTGGGATTGGGGTGGAGGGTGTTCAAACTCTGATTCCTGGAAGAGCCTTGAAGGCCACAGCCACCAAACAGCCGCATTCATGGAAACCTCCCAGCCCCACAACATCCCTCAAAACTGTAGTTACAAACCAACGCTCCCCCCCCCTCCCAAACCCCAAACCCAAACCCTAAACCCCAAACCCCTCAACCACCCTAAACCATCACACTAAACATGTTCCTAAAACCCTAAACCCCTACCCCCTAAACCCCTAACCAAATTCCTAAACCCTAAACCGACCCTAAAACCACTAAACTCCTGAAGCCCTAAACCCTTACCCCTAAACCCCTAAACCAATTCCTCAACCCTAAACCCTAAAACCCCTAAAGCCCTAAACCCCCAAACAAATCAACAAATCTCTAGACCCTAAAACCCCTAAACCCCTAAACAAATTCTTAGACCCTCAAACCCCTAAAGCCCTAAAGCCCTAAACCCTTAAACAAATTCCTTAACACTGTAACCCTACCACCCGCAAACACCTAAAGCCCTAAACCCCTACCCCCTAAACCCCCAAATACAATTCCTAAGCCCTATAAACCCTAAACCCTAAAACCCCTAAACCCTAAACCCTAAACCCCTAAACCCTAAACCTAAACCGCTAACTCGACTCTTTTCAGGATGCTGTGGAGAGCTGGCCGGCCACGGCCTGCCGTCGCCTCCGGGAGCGCGCCTCGCAGCCGGCAACCCGGGGGAGATGGTTTGGGGGTAGCCCTTTCTAAGGAGGGGTTTAGGGAATAGGGGTTTAGGGTTTAGGGTTTGGGGGTTTAGGGTTTAGGGTTTAGGGGTTTGGTCTAGGGGTTTAGGGGTTTAGGGTTTAGAGTTTATAGGAAAGTTTAGGGGTAGGTTGGGGATGAGGGTTTGGGGTTCAGAGGTGTTGTCGAAAGGGTTTGCGTGGGCTTTGCCAAGGGTTTAGTAGTGCGGTTTTTAGACCATCCGGAAAATCCAAAACCGGAAAGACAAGATCCGTTTATTCCGCTACAGTGGGTGGGATCATACTTTCGGAGCGCAAGCAACCAACGACTCTATGGGTTTTGAGTTCGGGCTTGTGCGATTGCGGCTGGGGGTCTAGTGTCCGAAAGCATAGACGATCCTCCAGCTCTGGGTCTCTTGTTTGGCATACCCGAGGCGATTTACGCCCGAAAGCGCCAGGCCGGAAATCGGCCCCAAGCAAGAAGAACCGGAACAGTGACACACCCAGGCGATTATAGTCAGAATGACACGGTGGTAGTGATTGTCAGGAACTCGATTCCTGACACCGCGCCCCTCTCTTGCCAGCATGCTGCGCCTGAGCCATGTGCGGCGCTGTGACCTGTATCATGCCCTGGGTGTGGGCCCTACAGCTTCGCAGCACGAGCTCCGCGAGGCTTACCTGCGCCGTGCCAAGCAATACCATCCGGATGTGGCTTAGCCAAATCTCTTTGCTGTGGGGAAGTGTTTTCGTCATGGAACCCGGCTTGTCGATCGAAGTCTCCAAGAAATATCCGTGAGTCTCCCGACAGAACTGATCTAGAATGAATGGGGCACTAACAAGAACTCCTGCATTCCCCAAGCTGCACTCGTGCTAATGTTCCTAAACCCCAAACCCCGCTCCATTGGAATCATTATTGGCAAAAAAAAGGTGATCGGGGAGTGTAGAATTGCGGCAGTACTACAGGGATACGAGCTCTCTTCTGCTGGCTGAAAATCCGAGGTAGCCGGGTCCTGCTCTGCCCGCTTCCAGCGAGTCCAACATGCCTGGGAGACACTCCGAGATCCTGCACGGCGGAGGGTTTACGACCACGGTCTCCCGGGAGGAACAGGAGGCTTGGGGTGTTGGAGTTTCAGCTATGCTTCTAGAGTCTAGACCCTAGACTGAGTTGGAGGGATGGATTCTGGCAGCGATAAAGATTTCTGCATTGCAGCTGCTGGACGATTGGATTCATTCGACCAACCGAAAGCATAGGAGACATCCCATCGTGAGAGGTGCCACGGCGCGACACCCCAACCCACAGCGACACCGAAACGGCTGCTCGACTGTACAGCTCCGAGATGAGATTCCGTGTTCTGGGTTTGGATGTAGATGGTGAGTCCGGTGAATCCGTTGGAGCACAGTTGACAGCACTACCAGCAAGAAGGGTGTGAACAAGCGCAATCCAATTCCTGATGGGGGTCTTGCTCACATCCTTTTTGTTTTCATATGAACGTCAATAGCGACAGCAGCAGCTTCAACTGCAGCTCCTCCGCCTCCTGCTACCTGTCACTGACACGGCTGACACCATAGCTGCGTACTACAAGAGCACAGTGAGTTCTACAGTACAAGAGATACGCTATGGAGAGTACCAGCACACGCTCCAGGTTTCGCTGGAGACGGCCATCCAGGAGCTGGCCATCGCCACTGGTATGAAGATCTCAAGGCATCGCACGAAGCCCGCTACAGAGAGGACCTAGAAGCGGATTAGCGCACGTAGCCCGCATTTCCAACCCTCACATCCGAACCCCGAAGCGCTTCGCATGCAAATTCAAGATCTGGAAAGTCCTGCCACAAAACAACAGGAGTCCCGCCGAAGGGAGCCTGGTGCAGGCTTTCAAACTCCACACGCGGAGAGGTTGCGCAGACAGACGCGGCATTTCGAAGAGGCGGTCGAGGGTCAGTTTTTCGAAGTTTGACCCCATGCCCCTCAGACAAGTCGCCTGGGCGTGATCTCCTCTGCAGCTCAACCGTAGCAACTGCTCTGCGAGTATAGGAACTACATGTTGCAACGGAACAAACGAGTCTACACTTGTGTAGTCTTCTTCGCAACGGGGTGCTCGGAGGTCTCTTGAATGTCTGGAATGAACTGATTGATGCCACTTGATAGGGTAATTCCTTGGAATCCTCTGTGCCATACCGACGGTGTGATGAGATAGTTTCTCAAAGCACAGTGATGGAACTATTTGCCCGAGTAGGGTCAGTCTTTCCTCGATCAGCTAAAGTCGGCCCTTGCGAGGTCATGCGCGAGGTGGGGTCCAACCCGGACATGAAGCAGTTTGTTGGAGCTGGATTGCAGATGAAGCTATTGTGCCAGCTTGGTTTCATCCTCGCTGCAATGTGTCATGGCCGTCTAGTCTTAGTCATCTGCATGTTTGGATTTATGCCCGCAGTCTGCAATACGAGCACACGGTGTCGGAAGGCTGGGCAGTTTATTTCACTCTGATCAGGCTGAATCTTCTGTTATGGGCCTTTGCCAAGCAGCAGAAGTCGCGTGGTAGCAGCCGGCCTCCCACGGAGCTCGACCGGGTGCTGCGGTCTGTGGGAATCGTGCTTCGCTGAGGGTGAAGAGGCCGCGGGTGAGTCTCTTGCGAGCTTCTCTGCTTACGGTCAATGCGTCGAGAATTCCGACCCCCGGAAAGCAGGAGGATGTCCTTGTCATGTGTACATATGTTGATGCTGCCAGCAAGTGCAGTCTTCCAGCGCTGCAAAGCCATCGCACCTAGGTGCAAGTTCGCTTGCTGCATGCACTCGTTGGCCTTACCAATCGCGTGTTCGTATATTTGGGCGAGATAGAGCCAGAAGCAGCTGCTGGACAAATTTCAACATCCCAAACAAAGGCCTGCGCGGGAGGAGTTCGAGGAAGTCTTGTCTCGGGGCGTCCAGCAAGTGGTTCGCCTCTCAGACAGAGCTTCACTGTCTACTGAGCCTACTGCCATTCGTAGAAGTCGTGCGCGCAGCCTTTGTCACCCGTGGTCTCGGCCCACTCCAGAAGAGACGTTGGCTATCATAAGCTTGTCCAGCTACCTCGCAGTGTACGGGGAATCGGCATAGGCACAGCCTCAACCAAGATGCATTCTAAGGTGCTTGCGATGCAGCGCAACAACGGCAGCGCCAAGCTTTTTGCATGGGGTTGCAGGCATGGGCCGCGGAGCGTAAATAGTCTCAGTCACCATCCTTACATTTTTGTCTCCCTGTCAGGGCTCTGGCTGCTTTGGTGGTCCGTCCGCCAGCGCGCGCCCCCCAGTGGATCAATGCACGTCCCAGCAATGCTTTTGGTTGCCTGTCGTTGGCAGTACCACTTCTGGCTCTTTGGAGCTTCATCTTGAGCGCAAAAGCTGAAGTCGATAAATCGTGCATCCGTTGCTTCCCAGGCAGCCAGCAGACTCCCACACATGGTCGTGGGCTGATAATGACTATGGCAACAGCGTTTGCGGAGGCACGGGGTCTAGAAGCGTGCAAAGAAATCCGAAGGCCTTCTGCAAATTCCTTCAGGTTCTTTTTGCAAGTTGGATCTCCCAGGCAAGTGTTTCTTCCTGACTTAGCGGCCGCTCAGAGTGATCATAAGACGTCTTCCGGCAAAGGGCGGCGCAGCGAGGGGGCTTGGCTTTGGAATGTCGTGCCTTGGAGATATGTTTTGCGTCCTTGCCGCAGCTTTGCCGCAGGTAGCAACAGCAACTGCAATGCAAGCCAGCCGGTGGGACACTCGGTGTCTCCACATCCAGATGAAGCACATCAGGGTCTTGGCGTATATCAGGGCACTAATATAATATGATATAATGTAACATAATATACTATAATACAATATAATATAATATAATATAATATAATATAACATAACATAATATAATATAATATAACATAACATGCAAATACATGAATGAATACACAGGCAAATATATATGTAGACACCAAACACGTAAAAAGAAACTAGGAGTATTATTGTCAATGCGCTTTCCGAGTACGAGCTTGGCCAACCACCAAAAACAGCCTAGGTTGACTCAACGGATTTAGGGTTGTGTGCTCTGAGTTGGTGCTCTGGAATCGCAAAGCCACCAAGAAGAGAACCTTCAGCAAATTAGCTAACACAAAAGTTAATGTAAGACAATGCTGCTCTGCTCCTCTCTCAGACTCTGGAGAAGATGTTCATTCTCCTGGACAATAGCAAAGCGGTCACGGCCAACGAGTCAGGTCGGGCTGCACAGTTCATTTTTCAGTTGGTCTTCCGGCTCAATCTTGCTAGTAGCTTCTGGTTCGTACCTTGTGAAGCTGGTATTTCAACTGTGTGGAGCTCCTATTGGCACTTAAAACTGGAGACTCTAAGTCTTGTTGCAGGACCGCCGATGGCCAATGACGTGCAGCCGGCAACGTGTTGCTTGTTACATACTCCTGCCAACCACCAGCATCTAAATCCGGGTCGACACTTGATGCTCAAACCTTCACATCCTTGCACGGCCCCCTTCAGCCCCTCCCACCGCAAAGAGAGCTCAGCTAGTCCCTTTTTCCTTGCAATCCTGAGCGTAACACCCCACCTTTGCAGCAAGCCCTGTGGCATAGCTGCGACAGGCCGTCGTCTAAGCTCCGACTGTTTGATGAAAGTAATAATGAGAGGATTACGACAAGTAGGCAAGTAGGCTCAACAATAGCCGTCTGTGTAATCACCATCGTCACAGCATCAACCTTGACAGTCTTGGCAAACGGAAACAGTACACCTGTACTGTTAGCCGTCGTCGGTGTCGGGGTCGCAGTCGCCGTCGCAGTCGCGGTCCTAGGGCGCTCGTAGTCCTTGTCTTAGGTCGTTGTCGTCGTTCTCGTCGTCGTCGTCATCGTAGAAATGATTCTTGTTATAACCGTTGCTATTGTTAGTACTGTAGTAGCTAGGAACAGTAGTCGCGGTAGTAGCAATAGCAGTAGCAGTAGTAGTATCAGTATCAGTAGCAGTAGCAGCAGCAGCAGGAGGAGTAGTAGGAGTAGGAGTAGGAGTAGGAGTAGCAGTAGTAGCAGTAGTACTGGTCGTTGTCGTCGTCGTCGTCATAGTAGTAGTGGTTGACCAAACTCAGGTCATCCCTATGGAGTTAATGCTGGAGCAGACAGCAACAACAGCCATCACTACAGCAGCGGCGAGACTGTAAAGTCATGATGCTACACTGGCTTCGACAACATCACCGTCGTAGCGGTGTAGCGTCGATAGCACATACTTTTTGAATTGCAGCAACCATATTGATGGCAATATGTACGCAATAAACAACAGACTATGCATGCAGGGGCAGCAGGAGCACCAACAGCAACAGCAGCACGAAGCGCGAGTTCAGAAGAAGACCTGTCGTCCTGCAGCCAACAGCGGTTGCTTTTGCTCACGTTTGGCGTCACTGCGGTAGTGATGGTGGTAGTCATAGTCGTAGACGTAGTCCTCGTCGTCGTCATAGTAGCAGTTGTTGTTGCTGGTGCTGCAGTTGTCATTGACCTGATCGTTCTTGTTTTTCGTCTTCCTCCACAGGGCTCGTCCTGTCGTCGATAATGGCTCGGAGCTGCCTCCGCAGGTGCCTTTGTGGCTGTTCGTCATGCGCCAGTTCCTTCTTCTCGTGCCGAGGGAAGACCCGAAGGTCTGCTTGAAATCATTCCGGAAACGTTTCATGGTTCCACATGGGTGCCACTTCTGAGGGTCTGGGCTACAACAAGACGTTCCGGGTGTTTTGAAGGAGCCGAACGCCAAATCCGTCGGTGGTCCCTTGCCCATCGCCCCAGGAGTGTGAGGCTCAGATTCCCCGAACCCGCGAAGTCTGCACCACATGCTCAACTTCAATCCGGAGGTCGTGTTCCCCAACCGTCACAATTCATGAAGGTGGACCAGCAGACTAGCACCCTGATGGCCCGAAGCCCTAAACGCCTAACACCCAGGCCCTCCGCGAAGCCGGAACTTGTGCTCTGGCGACGATGCCAGTGCCCTAGATCCTTGATAAACATTGCAATCAGAGTAGCTAATGATAGCAGGAACAGATACAGACAAGTGCATCTACGGTAGATGCACATACAGCCATTGGTGGCCATGACATCCGAGGCGACATCTTTGCGACCACACAGGACCTGAAGCTGGCAACGCAGCTCTTGAGGAGCTCTGATTGCATGGGGAGAGCGCGACTTCGTCGCTTTGCACTGGCATTCCTGGGTTCGAGTCTGTGGCTGTCTGTGGCTGTAGGACTGTAGGACATCGGACCGATGGTTTCCGATGGAAGCATGATCCTGGCACCTGTGGTAGCTGTAAGATTGACAACTCAACTCCAAACTAACGGAGCCCTGACCGCTTGTAGCTGATAAGTGTTGCTTTTCAGCTGCCCGTGCTCTTCCCGGGCAGCTTTACTTGGATGACTCCAGTATGATCCCTGTATGAGCAAAATCAATTGCGGCCTTGCATTACAAGCCGTTACATTCCCATATTCCTAGAAGATGCCCCAAAACCCCACATCGTACATCCCAAAATCCTGTACGACTTGCTTGCTTCGACCTATTAATTCTAGACCTGGCGTTTCAAGACGAACTTTTCTTTGCCTGGCGAAGGAGCTCTTGGTAGTGCTCGAAAAGGACGAGCGAGGTGGGCCAGCACAGAGTACAGAGAGACATCTTCAGAAGTTCAGGGCACAGGGCTCAGGGGCTCTGGGGTGATTGTCTTTGCTGCTCTTGGCTTGGATTAGGGTTCAGGGGCACGCCCTACAATCCACGCCTCTCAGACTCTGATTCTTCAATCCCCACACCCGAAACCGCAAAAGCAGGTTAATCCCCTAAATCCCAAAGCCCCAAGCCTTAAGGCAGCGCAGCTTTGCTGGCCTGGATTTCCGCCGCTGTTGCAGCGCTGGCCGCAGATGGTAGGGCGCTGGCCGAGGTCGCAGTGCAGGCACGATAATTATTCTGAGAAGTAGTAACAGTAACTAAGTCAGCATGATGATAATTAGAATGATAAGAGTAAACGTTAAGCTGTTGGCGATTCTCCTGCACGATCTGGGAACTCCTTGCCGCATCCAAGTGCTGAAGACAAGACAAACCTCAGCTGGCGAGTAGGATAGCAGAAGAATTCCTGATTAGTTTTTCTGACATCGTTCGTCGAAGGTTCCAGTTACCTCAAACACGAAATCATCAATTGACGTTTTAAGACCGGCAACAAGACTGATCAGAATCATCAGCGTCATCATCATCATCATCATCATCCTCACCATCATCACCATCATCACCATCACCTTCACCATCAGTCCTACGTAGCGTGATCGTCATCGCGACCACGGCTATAGTACGCTAATCTCAACTCAGATAGTGTGCAACTGGACGAAGACTGGTCCATCGCCAACTTTGACCATTATAGATCAGTTAATCACAGCAGAAAGGACTCTTACTCCTCGTCGACACAAAAAGTCTATGAAAGTGTCCGGCCTAGGCTCGTCAGAGAAACGTATTACGATTCTCGTCGTAATTGATTTCGTGAATAGCGTAGCGTTGTGCGACTGCTGCCATTTCAGAAATCAAGACCTTTGGCTTGCAGAAATCGAAAGCCTCGCCGTGCTCTTTGTGACTTCCGGAACCTTCCGAGCGAAGGCCACCGCCACGGGGACGTCGGCCCCGAACCCCCGTGCCACAGGCCGGGAGTGGAGGAGCCTCAGGCTTTCAGCTCTGTCGGTGATGGCTTTGGTGCCAAGAAAGGGGCCTTTTTAATTGCCAACACTATTTTTTGGGGGGGTTCCTTCTTCTAGTTATGGTAGAATACACCCCAAAACCCTATTCTAGTTATTGAGGCCCCGATTAATCAAGTGGCTCCTGGAGTTTTGTGCACAGCATCGTTATGCTTGGTGGCGCTTGCGAGGTAGCACGAGCTTGCTGCCCAGTGCGGGGCCCAGCACAGCAGTTTCAGGATCTAGCCATTAAGACAAACTAAGGTTGGGAATCTGTTGGAATCGCTGCGGCAGTGGAGGCAGAGACAAGGTCTCCAGGTCGTAGCCGTAGTGGCAGCGGTGTAGTACTGGCAGTAGTAGCAACAGGAGGAGTAGCAGTGCTTGCAAGCATGTTTGAGCACGCATGCTAGGTGGGGCGACAGAAAGCAAAAGTATCATGTAGTCATGTAGCACGTGACGGAGCCCACAATGTGAAAGTCACAGGCGTGTTTGCTTAAAGGGCAGCTGCACCCGCAAGCCTTCCACAAGCAAGATAGCAGGAAGCATACCCAGGTCAACTGGCAAGGCGGCCCTACTGGTAGTAGTGTATGTGTGACATGTACAAACCTGATCATCATTGCAACTGTTGTGGGTTTGTGTGTCAGAACCGCTAAACAACTCGCGCAGATTTAGGTTTACAGCTGACAATAGTTCCAATCGCTATTCCATTATTGCAGTCATGATGGCGAATCACGCCTGCAGCGAAGGAGAATCCTAATGAAGCGAAAGCTAGTGCATGTCATGCTCACAGCAATGTGCATAGCCCCCTGCACACGTTCGCATCATCATCATCATCATCATCGTCATCGTCATCGTCATCCTCATCAGCATCATCATCATCATCATCATCAAAAACCGTCATCATCATCATCGTCATCATCATCACCACCACCACGACCACCAGCATCATCATAATCAAATTCATCATCATCCTCGTCATCATTATCGTCCTCTTCATCACCGTCACCATGTGACTGAGCCGGGTCGCCACCTTCTAGCAACGATGATATTGACAAGCACAGGCATAGTTTGCAAATCAACGTGAGGTCTCAGTAGCCTTCTCACGGCCTCGGCACGAGGGCTGAAGGCTACAGGCTGGAGTATTGCGGAGTTCGAATCCCTAGGATCGCGTTGTCGTCGCGTCGTCGTCGAACAGGTAGTAAGTAGTAGCACTGCCGGAGATATTGTTGTTGCCAGTATTATAGGTTATGACAACAGAGATCATGGTGATGACTAGCATCCTTTTCATGTTTCTGGTTGCTAGGTTTGTTGTAGCTTCACTCTTGGAGATCTCATGTTCAGAGTTTCGTCGTCCATGTTCTAATGATTACCATTCCTCTTGGACTTCCTCTTCATCTGCTTCTACCATCGGTCCCGCGATTCGATTCCATCCTGAGATGGAGAAGAGCCGATACCCTCAAGCCCTAAAGCCCTGAGCCCCTAAACCCCTAAACCCCAAAACCCTAAACCCTAAACCCATAAACCCTAAACCCTACACCCTAAACCCTAAACCCTTAAATCCCAAAGAGAGCAGGCCCGGTGCGGCCACCCAGCTGCCCAGCCTTAGCTGCCCGCGTCGCCACGGGACTCCTTTCCAGCGGCTTGGGCTGTTTTTTCGGGGGCTCTTTTTGGGGGTTTAGGGTTTAGGGCTCTTGAGGGTGTGGGGACTCGGGACTATAGGGACTCCTTGGAGGCTTTCCTGTGAAGATTCTGTCCTTGAGCGCTTCTTTGGCTTTTTGGGCTTAGGGGGGGTTTCAGGGAGGGGTTAAGGCTGCCGGGCACCGGCTATGTGAGGCATGCACAGACTTGGGTGGTTTGGAAAGTGGCCCAGGAGCGAATTTCGAGCCTGAAGGTTCAGGAGATTTGGTGGTGTTGGAGTCTTGGGGTTTGGGGCTTCTTCAACCGGGTTGCCAGTCTTGTGTGTTGGGTTGTGGGGTGAAGAGACGAGGCTATGGATTTCTGTGCAGACTGTAGGCTTTGGGAAGGAGAAGAGTCTCGTGTCAAGACTTCAGGATTTGAAAAGGAGCGACACGCCCTCCGGAGCGTGGTTGCGCTTGGGAGATCCTGTGAGATCTCGAGCCCCAGAGCCGTAAACCCCTACCCACCTCTCGAGCCCTAAAGCCTGAACCCCCTAAACCCTCTATGCCCAACCTTATGCAAAGCCACTTTCCTGGAAAAGCCTGAGGTTTGCGTCGGATACCGGCAACAGCTCGAAACGGGGCGGCGGCCTTGCTTTTTCGTTCATGGCAAGACGGATCTGCATGGGTGTTTAACGGATGTGCGGGTTTCTGTTAAGCTTCAACTTAGGAAGTCTTTGTTGGGCCCTGAGCCGTAAGAGCCAACGCCACTTTCAACGGCCATAGACTGCCATCGCCAACTTTTAACAACTCCCGATCGGCCCGACGTGGGGGGTTCTCTGTCTGCAGTCAGACTTAGTCCCGCAGACGGAAGAAGTTGCACCTCGGAATACAAACCATCACGCGAGCAAGCTGTTGCACCGCAAACCTTGAAGCGTGCTCGAGGCGGGCGGTGGCACCACGACGCCAGCTGGGGTCGGGTGCCGAGCCTCTTTCTCTGTCCTCGAGCTCGGACTGCAGTCGAGCGGGTTCTCCACGGTCTCCAGTTGCTGCAGTTCAGGTTTAGGCTTTTCCGCTCGGAGGCTGTGCTCTGAAGAAGACTTAGACAAGCTGTCCCGTTTGCGAGGCGGCTCTGTGAAGGTATCGCGATTGCGACTATGCTCGTGGTCATGACGTAGACATGTTGGGGTTCAGGGATTTGATACAAGACTATTCTTGCAGCTCTTCTTGCAATATGCACGGCGAGTAGGTCTGTTCTCTGGTCCGGCATGCTTCTGAGGATGGCAGCACTCGCGGGAGGGTCACCCTCCGGGACGGCCACATCGCCGTCGGTGACGTTGTCAGGTCCAATGACATGTTGTTGGCTTGGGAGCTGAGGGTGAGGTTCCCAATCCCATGCCCCCAAACTGCTGTCACGTCTTACTTTCAATTGCCGTAAACCTTGCAGTGCACACTCAGGCGATCTGGAGCGCCGATCATCCCCACCCGTGGGTTCCGATTTGACAGGTCGTTGTTAAGAAAAAATACGAGACTTTGCCAAGTATCCATGCGTGTATGCCTTTCTCGCAATTGCAGGCTTCACAATGACCTGGAACGTGCCAAGAGGGAGCAGGCTACGGAACATGGAGTTGTTCTCTCGCTCATGGTCCAATGTTTCTGTGATGCTTGACTTTGTGCGACTTAGTGACTGTCAAAATGAGCTAGCATACGGCATAGTTCCTGGGTGCTTGCAGCCAAGATTTGTAGTGCTCTGCAAAAGCATGTCCTATCAACAGGAGGCAGCGCGTTTGCACACAAGAAGCTTTCCACATTCTGTCACAGTCCTTCCGCGATCACCTTCTCGACACGCTGTGCCCATGACATGGGGCAGCCAGACGGTGCACGTATCAAATGCAGCGCAAGTGCCGCCAGGAGCCTCCTGAGCATTTTGGTGGCTGGTGCGACAGGACAGAGTCCAGCCTTTCAGAGTCATCGAAGTGCAGAGTTTTGTGTGCCCCAAAGAGTGGTCAAAGCCCTGCTCTGCTTATTGTCGCAGCTTCTGATCTCGCAGAATCTAGCATTAGCCTTATTCGCTGTCTGAGCATCTAGGATGGGTGGTTGTTGTCACAGCCTCACACCTCCAAGCTCCGCCGTCCCACCCCCCTTCGAGAGTTTATCTTGTCTTCAAGAGGAGGCCTCAAAATTATTCAAAGTCGTGCGGATACGAAACGAAAATCCAGTGCTTGAGTAGAACATGTGACAAGAGCACCAAGAACATGACGCCAAGACGGATTATGGTCATACAGTAGCTATCACAAGAAGCTGAATCTGGGGAAAAATCCCGTACTTGGCAGGATGGCATTCTGCTTGGACTTCCCCGGCCGCGTCGCCGGGGCCTGGTTTGGTCAGAGTTACGGGGGCAGGCTTATGTAGTAGGAACCTTGACAAGAGAAAGAGAAGAGGACGAGCAAGGCGACAGGGACGGACAAGGGGAGACAGATCAGGTAAACATCTTGCTTCGGCTTCAGAAATGCATTTTATTGGATCCAGCAGGGGACAGATCCGCCAAGCACAAGGCACTCGCCATGTATGCTTTCCATCACCGAGGTCGAGATTCCACGGCGCTCGCCTAGAATGCCGGAGGCAGAGCTGAGGGTGCCTGTGTAGTAGCTGCATAGTATGGTGATGGTGATGATGGTCATGGTGATGATAATGACAATGACGATGATGATGATGGTGATGATGATGATGATGATGGTCTTCATTATCGTCATCATCATCATCATCGTTCCTCCTCCTCTGCCTCCTCCTCATCATCATCATCATCATCATCGCCGTCGTCATCATCATCATCATCACCAGCATCATCATCATCACCAGGATCATCATCGCCATCATCATCATCATCATCATCCTCTTCTTCTTCATCATCACCATGATCATGAAGATCATGACCATCATCATGAACATGATGATGACAGTCATCATCGTCACCATCATTAACACCATCACCATGGTCATGATCATGATAACGATCATTGTCAGCAAGAGCAGCAAGGACCCACGACAACAACGAAGAACACCACACCGCCGCCGCCGCCGCCGCCAGCAGCAGCAGCAGCAGCAGCAACAGCAGCAGCAGCAGCAGCAGCAGCAGCAGCGGCAGCAGCGGCATCAGCAGAAGCGGCAGCAGCAGCAGAAGCAGCAGCAGCAGCAGCAGCAGCAGCAGCAGCAGCAGCGGCAGCACCAGCAGCAGCACCAGCACCAGCACCACCGGCACCGGCACCGGCACCGGCACCAGCACCGCCACCAGCACCACCAGCACAACCACCAGCACCACCACTACCACGACCAGCAGCAGCAGCAGCAGCCACAACAACAACACAGCCAGCACCAGTACCAGCACCAGCAACACCACCACTTCCGCTACCACTGCCAGCACCAACACCAACCACGATGCACCAACAAACGAAACAGCAACACCAATCATCAATAGCAGCAACAACAGACAGCAGCAGTCGTAGTAGCCATAATCATAGCCACAGCAACAGCAACAGTAACAGGAATAGGAGTAGTAATAATCATACTAGTAGAAAGAGTAGGGTTGAGATTATGCCTAAGAGTGCGTAAGAGTCAGAGTCAGGGTCGTTGTAATGGTACTAGTAATCTCACAGGAACGGCAATGGCAATGGCAATAGTACTTTCTAGTAATAGTAATGGCGAGCAGCCCATAGTCAGCCGTGAATTTTAGTAGTGAATAGTAATAGGAATAGTAATAACAGTAGTAATTAGCAGGAGCAATAGCCGTAGCAGTTGCAAAAAAGAGCAAAAGCAATTGCAGTAGTAACAGTCATAGGCAAAGTAATGGCAATAGTAGTAGCAATAGTAATGATAAATGTAAAAGTAATAGTACGCGTAACAAGATGCATAATCGTAATGGACACAGTAGAATCATTACTGTAGCAGTAGTCGTACAAGTAATCATTTTCACCATCAACAACAATGACAGCAGCAGCAGCAACAACAACAACAACACTAAAAAATCACCGGCCGCTTTTCATAATTTGCGCACCCGTGCAGGTCTTGCGCATCTCCCATGGGGCCACTTGCCCCTGCTTGGCTGCTTCCAGTAATGACATGCAGAATTGGGAAGGGTTAGTAGCGGTTAGTACCTCTTTACAAGCTGCGAAGCTCTATCCGTCCAGAAAGGTATTCGGCACTTCGCACATTCGACATATCTTTAAGCAACTTTGTTCGAAGAAGCAGTCCTGTGTGTTCCTGCAAGCTCCAAGCATCTCGACAAGCCACCTGAGCACCTCCTCACAGACGCCTCTCATCATCGTCATGAATGCTATTCCTCGACTTTTTAGTGTCATCCTCGTGTTTGTAGCTTGGCTGTTTCATTTACGTCGTGGTTATCGCTCTTGTTCATGTTGTTGTAATTGCAGTGCTGTCGTTGTAGTAGTAGTAGTAGTAGTTGTTGTTGTTGCTGCTGCCGCTGCTGTTGTTGACGCCGCCGTGGCGGTTGTTTTTGTTGTGGTTGTTGTCGTGCCTCGTTGTTGTTCTTGCTGCTGCCGCTGCCGGCTCCTGCTAGATAGATGCTTGCAAGAGCCCTTGAAGAAGCGTTCTTCTTCCTCATCGTCTCAGTATGTTGAAGCACCCAACAAGGACTGAGGTTCTGTTTCTCCTTCATTGCATGCCTCGAAGAGGAAGTCGCCTTAACAGAAGCCAGACTTCCCAATCCCGACCCGGCATCAAACCACACGTGGCAGTTTTGGTTTCCGTGCTTCACCCAAGGCCCTTGGATGTTGGTGCTGGAATGCCAAAGCAGTCGCAGAGGACTGGGCTTGCTGCGAAATCCGAAGCCACAGAACCTAAAACCCTACTCTCCGGGAGGTGATCTCACATGCAGGCCTGCTTCCCTTTGAAGAAGGCAGGGGGCCAAATTTCGGAACAACACATCCAACGAGGGCGACCAAAAAGCCAAAGGTCGTGCTTTGCACAACCTCCTGCACTCCAAACCCTAAGCTCGGAACTCGAAAATGCTGAACCCTAAAGTCCCTAAAGGCCTAGAGCCCCCTAAAGTGCACCTGTGATCCCTTCTCACATTCCTATAAGTGGCAGTGGAACACGACACGCTCGGACCGAAGCACTGCAGCAAGCCGGCAGACTCCTGACAAAAACTAGGGCACAATCTCAGAAGCTGCCAGATGAGTGCGGCCCTGGTGCAGCTCTGACGATCGGCGATGAGGCACTGTGCCCCGAATTACCAAGTTCTTGAAGGTCAGAGTTGGTGGGCTTAGGATTTCAGGTTCAGGACGATGACAACGCTGATGGTGATGAAGAGAAAAGCATGAGGACGAGGAGGATGACTATGGTAACGGTGAACGTGTTGGTGCTCTTTGTAGTACAGAATGTTGGCTTCTTCTTCTTCTGAACCATGGTTCAAGGGACCTTTCATGATATTCACTTCTCAATGATCCGTCTGTGGTTGTTAAGGTGAAATGCCGAAAGCTCGATGTCCGAAACCCAAAACAAAAAATGAAGAAACCCTGAAACCCAGAACCATGGTTAAACCTTCAACCAGCATCGCAACCCTCCATGGGCTTCCGGACATAGACCGATCTGGGGATCCAGGCTACAGCTAGGGTTACGTCCCGTATGTATGCAGTAATGCATGTATGGACGCATGTATGCATGTATGTGTATGTATGCAGGTAGGTAAGTAGGTAGGTGGGTAGGTAGGTAGGTAGGTAGGTAGGTAGGTAGGTAAGTAGGTATGTAGTTATGTGGATATTTAGAGCACGCATGCCAGGTGCGCATCGACGTCACCGTCGAGGAAGCGAAGCAGCTCCAGGCAGGTTTTCACGGTTCAGCGTTTTAGGGTTTCAAGGTTTCAGCTCGTCTTCTTCTCGTACACTTGTCCACACGAGTCGTGAGGTCCCAAGAAGCTTCTCCAACCTCCAAATTCCAGCTGTAAATGAGGAATCCCTACGACACACTGACACAAACATTTTGAGGCACTCAAGCCTCTTGAAGCGTCAGATGAAAAGGGACGAACAGACTTCTTTGGGTGTGCCAGATTCGTGTGTCCGCCATGTCGTTTGCCCGGCAGGTCAACCACGGTGGCTGGAACGATCGCATGACTCAGCCGCAGACCTGGTGATTCCACGGCAACCCTTCGCGAAACCTACTTTCCGTAATCAGAAGAAGCAACAACATTTAGATCGCGCTCCAATTCCACTGGACTCCAGGTGCTGTGGGCGCGTCGGGCGTCTCGAGGCCATCGACAAAGCCGGGGACATGAAGGCGCGAACCCATCCTGTTGCAAGCCCTGCAAATCAATCAAGCTATCTACCTGCCTACCTGCCTACCTCTACCTACCTACCCACCTACCTGCCTGCCTGCCTGGCTGCCTACCTGCCTGCCTGCTTGCCTGCCTACCTGCCTACCTACCTACCCACCCACCCACCGACCGACCGACCCACCGACCGACTGACCGACCGACCGACCGACCGACCTACCTACCTACCTACCTACCTACCTAACTACCTAACTAACCAACCTACCTACCTACCTACCTACCTACCTACCTACCCTACCTACCTACCTACCTACCTACCTACCTACCTACCTACCTACCTACCTACCTATATCTATCCATCTACCTATCTCTATCTATCGTTCTACCACGTAACATCGGTGGAGTTGCAAACGCCGTGTCCATACCTATCAGTACATACATGTGTTTGCACATCCCTTGAACGCTGCTTAGTTCATGCATCTCAGGTAGCCAGGCGCCCGAAAGCCTCATGTAGGAGCAGCAATATGTCGGGTAGAAGAGGCCACAAAACCCATGTTCGAGTTTGTTGCTACTGAACCCCGAAGCGCCAAACCAGACCGAGTCTGCAGGTGCTGGTCCCAGGTGCCGGTGCCTTTGTGTGGAACCCTCGGGCGCTCCGGTCCCTCCATGCACAGAGGCTCGCGGGCTGAAGGGGTCAAAGTCTTCCTTCGGGATGTTGGGATTCTGCAATTTTGAACGCAAATCCATCCATGTCCATGTCTCCTACTACCAAACTCCAGAGCCACATGGCCGATCGTCTGCATCTATTTCTGTTACTGCAGACACGCATGATAGAATGCAGGGAACATGAGTGTCCCACCGCCAAGAGCCTCTCTCCACTCCTACGGTGTAGGTGGGAGTCGGCCCTTTGCGAAAGGCTTTGCGGGCCGGGGCCTTGCGATCAGCTGTTAGAGATCGGGTTCAGGGTTTAGAGGTCGCCATCCAATCTAGCTTAGGGGAGTTTAGGCTGGTGCTTTTGGCTGTACAAGCTTGCCAAGCGTATGCTTTAAGCCATGCAGATAGTCGGCGGCGGCTGCACGGCGGCGTGGCTAGTACCAAGCATTTCCGACTCTTGTGCGCGATGGATGGAGTCCATGGCCTGCAGCAATTATGGACAGGAAATATGGATTTAGGGTCTGGGGCTCCAGGATGTTCAGTGTTTTGGCCTCTGGGGGGACCAAGCCCAGATGCTACATTAAGAGGGGCGAAGACCTTGCGCTGCCATCCATGCTTAGGTCGATCGAAGGCACTTTGCCCTTGGCGCTCTTGGCGGCCTTGTCTTGCCTGGGTTGCCGCGGAGCACTCAGGATTCGGCTTGATGCAAGGGCTAGGGGGCGCTCTCTGGGGTTTTTATTGGGTGAGGGATAACTTCAGGCTTGGAAGCAGGATTCTTGAGTTACTGGCTGGCGGCTGCAGAGCTGGACGCGGGGTTGAAAGCAATCTAAACGTCCTTCACCTGGCTGGTGCCGGAGCCCAGACCCCGAAACCAAAGAAATTCAAAACCCAATAAGCCCGGTTGGGCAGACAGCGAGAGTGCAACCCCAAGGTCTCGATGCAGATGGCATGAAAGCCGCCTATGCCGAATTGGCCGCAGACGTGCGACGCCTGGTGAGATGCTAGGGCAGGGGTCAGAGTTTGAGATGCTAGGGTTGGGGTCAGTGCTTGGCGCCTCCGGGTTATGGTTCAGAGCGTGGTGAAAGGCGAAAGCTGCATGAGATGTTCAGTATCCAAAAAAAAAGAGTGTGATCTGAAGCCCCAGACTCCATACATGTCTCTTCCGGTGTCTGTTGCCGGCGGGGTCGAGCCCTTTCAACCATGAGCCCCAAGGCCTTAAGTCCGACAACCAAACCCCTAAACCCGAAACCCACTTCAGTCGATCCCCTCTCGCGGAAGCCTAAGCTGCTGAAGGCTCAAAGCTCACAGGACGGCGGCTTCCAAGGACATCCGCTGTTTAGCACATGGCTTTTGGGTTTTGGGCTAGGCTCGAGGGGGCACTCCAATGCCAAATCCTGAAGTCTCAAGGCTTGAACAGAGTCCGAAGATAACGGGGGGGGGGGGGTGCCGGTAAAGTGTAAGGCCTTGAGCCTAAGCCCCAGCCCCAGGTCCAAAGTCCTCAAGTTGAGCTGCCGAAAGGTCTGGACGGTAGTGTCCAAAACCGGAGTTTCAGCTGCCAGTCAAGCGAGGATGGATGTCACTGGCAACGGCTGCGCTGCTGGTGGATCCTTCCTTAGTGGCTCCCTCAGACCTTGCAGTTGCACAAGCTGTTATTGACAGGTTGGCAAGCATTGTCCCGGAGTTCCAGTTGCCTGAACTTCGGCCTAACCCCGAAGTACGGAACCTCTGAGGCGGCTGAATCGCTCGACGAGGCCCGCATGCTTTCTCAGCTAAATTTTCGCAGGAGCTTCTCCCAAACACCTTCAACCCATCTAAGTAGGAGCTGTACTAGAGAAATTATGCACCGAAACATCCGCTGAAGCCTTAAGACTTGGAGCCCTAGACTCGTCTCATCAACGTACACAGCCGCCTTTGACTACCGGACGGATGCTGGTGAGGCCCAACACCAGTCGCCCAAGGTGCTGGCAAGCCCATCTCTCAGAATAGAACTTCATTGGGAAATGTTTGCATAGCGGATGCGACTTCGTTCACTAGATTCTTAGATCCCTGGGGGTTCGGGACTCGGCATCGTGAGAAGTTCAAAACAAAGCAGCTACTAGTACCACAGCATGCACGCGTGCCTGACCGCAAAAGCTACGATCATTGCGACGCTGTCAAGAAGATTAAGGCAGCCAACAGCATAAGAAGTATAGACTTATAGGTTTGAATTCAGGACGAGTGATCGACCGGAGCACAATCCTAACAGCGGCCCAAGGAAAGCATGCATCGTTCCCCACCTATGCGCATCCACACCCCTCTAGACGATTCGCGGCGCTGGGATCTCCGGAAAGAACCTACCTCTGTTCTTCAAGTCAAGCAGCCTACTTCTCGTGGACACGCGTAGGTGAAGCATGTTGCTGGAGGTGGCGATTCTAACGCTCCGGTGCTGTCGAGAACTTCGTGCCGAGGTGTTGTGCGACCGTCGGCACATGCATTGCTTCCCCAACTATTGCTTCAAGCTGCTTCGACACTGGGACGACATGGCCTCAGCTTCCGCCTGCTTCTTTTCTTGGGCCCTTGGCCACGACACGAAATGCTTGCAAAGCTATTGCAACAGCATGACCGTAACCATAGCAAGGAGGCAGCCATGCGAATGACACAGGTGCTCTGTGGCACGTCCGGAGCTTTCTTCTCCGGTCTCCTCAGCTGTGTGCATTCAGGTACGGCAAGCTCGAGCGAGACGCAAAAGGCTCGGGACCAGCTGTGCCCTCCGCCACACGTTTTCCGAAGCTGGACCCGCTTGTCTTAGTCCTTGACGGGAGCTAGGTTCTAGATCCTTCTCCCTGAACAGCTCTTTGCCCCAACCGGGTCTAGGAACTCGAACTCATCGCAGATCCCCCTATTGCAACTCTCTAGAAGTATCTCTCTGGCTTCGGAGCCGTCACCGTCAGCCCAGACGTGCTTGACCCCAAAGTGCACGCCTCACCCGAAGCCATCCATGGAGTCAAGCACTTTCACCCCCAAGGCGGGTTCTTCTCGTCATGAGTAGGTTACAGTGTGCCGGGGGTCTCTATACAGCGGGTCCTGGTACAGTAGGTGTTGGGCTCCCGGGTTCAAACCTTGCTTTCGGTGTTGTTGATGTCGGTTTTTCGGGATTTAGGTTCAACGCTGGAGCCCCTAAACCCTAAACCGTCCCTGGCCAGAAACAGGCTGGATCCTTCATGGAGGCCAGTCTTTCGCAGCTTCTGCAGGCCGACTCTGCCCGGAAGCTGGAAGCCCTAATACAACAAGAGCGCCCCAAGAATCTTCAACCCGAAATGGAAGCCCCAAATCCCAAGTCCTGAGGTCCTCAACCTGACTTGCTCTAGAAGCCTCCAAGCCATGAGTAAAAGCCTGTAAGCCTGTAGGCCGTGAGCGTTCTTTACCCCTAGTTTTGGAACCTGCCCGATGGTTGTTTCATGTCAAAAACTTTGAGGGCCTTTTTTCTGAGGTTGACGAGATTCAGTTGAGGATTTCAGGATTTGGGTTCTAGGTTGGGGGGGTTCTGGGGCTCCTTGCTGGACTCCATCATCGGGTTTCGCTCTCAGGGTTCAGAGTATTGCTTTAGCCCCAGCCGCAAACCCTAAACTCCGGAAATCTTGAGCCTTGAAGGGCTTGGTGCTTTGAGCTTACCATCACACGTGCAATGTGGAGGGTTGCTGGGCAGCCAGGTGGTAGGCCTATGTGCATTGGTTACGGTATGGTTCCTGGTCTATGTCTTTCCGTACTTCATCGCAGAATCGAGCATGAAACGCCATCCTGCTTCGGCAACCGACGAGAAGTGCAAGGCACCCTGAGCATCTTCCTCCAAAGCCCAAACCCTCACTCAGGGTTGGTGGCAAGAGCTGCCGGCCTGGGAAAGACGAGCTTGGGGCCAAGTTTTCCGGCTTCTGCAAAAGAGGCTTCGGATTTGGGGTTCAGGGAACTTCACCCATTAGCCCATCCCCGCATGGCATTGGTTGCTCGCTCAGATTGATGGAACGTCGACCACCCGAACCCTTGAGCCCCGAAGGCCCAAAACCCTAAACTCTGCCCCAAGCTCGAAGTCTTACCCACAACATTGTGACATTGAGATTGGGCGTCAGGCTCGGGGGGCGACTTGGGAGCGAGACCCTGATTGCAGCCCCGAAAGCACAGCTTACAAGGCACGAGCCGTTTGAAGCGCACGTGGTCGAGGACAGGGAGCGGGTCCCATTCTGACGAGGAGGCAAACAGTAGAGGCTTAGGATTCACGGTGTGGCATTCAGGGTTTGGCACTAAGGATTATTTTTTTTGCAGGAGTTTAGGGTTCAGGGTCAGCCAGAGCAACAGAGCGTCCAAACAGCGGACAGCTGTAATGACTCGTACGTGGTAGTCGATGGTCGGTGACACTGCTGATTCCAATGCTCGCTGTTGGCGCGCGCCACATCATCCAGAAGAAAGATGCACATGTAGAGATCTCATGTTAATTTGACTGGAGCTGTTCAGCCTTAACGTTGCAACCTTCTGTCTGCATGTAATGTCATGCCATCACTGCCAGTACCTGAACGTCTATATCATCGTCATTCCCCCGACTTTTTCTGAATGTTGATGGCATCGGTTCCGATGTTGCTCTTGGTCATAGTGATGATAGCGATGCGGCAGATGAAACTTATGACCAGTGCAAAAGGAGGGTCATGGTTGGAAGTTTCGAGATTGTGTCTTGAGCTTTTGGGAGAAGGAGTATTTGAGGGCTGAGCTGCAGGAATTACAGAGGCCTGAATAACCAGTAGTCTGATACCCTTCCCTGTATATAGTAGAGGCTGGAATGTTGGAGCATCGCTATCCTGATGCCTTTAAAGTTGAATATAGGTCGTCCCAGCACTCATCATCCTTAACTCATGTTCCAACCTTCTGGAGTTCAGCGGTAAGTGCTGTAGTGTGTACCATGCCACAAAACCCCCAAAAGTGTTGCCTTCGTTTCACAAGTTCTGCGGAGCAGGACGAAGGAAGTTTGGCTGAGAGTCGAAAGTTAGTACCCGGCGTTTTATCCGCATGTGCCGGGCTGCAATCTGCAAATGACAGTTTGCTCGTGTACAGACCCGGAGATTATTCATCAATCGGTACAGGATGCGGACCTTCCGGTAATGTCAACGCTCCTCAGAAAGAACATACAAGCCGTCTTTACCATCATCTGTCAGGCCGTCAGCTCGTCCGCTTTGTAACCGCTCCCTGGGCTTCTGGAAGGCAGTCCACGTAACTTAGCAATTGAAGCAGCAATGCTTCAAGCTGGCC